TTGAAATTGTTTATCTTTTAGGACTTTGAAGATAGGGTTCCAAGCTCTCCTAGCCTGCAGTGTTTCTGTAGATAAATCTGCTGCTATACTAATTGGTACTCTATGGTAGGTGATCTGGCCTTTTTCTCTTGCTGCCTTTAGGTTTCTTTTCTTTTTTACCTACTTTGTTTAGGCAAATTATTGTGTCTGGGAGTTGGTCTTTTTATTTATTGTCTTGCATGGGTTCTCTGAATCTCTTGTGTGTGAATATTTGCATCACTGATAAGATGAGGGAAGTTTTCTTCAATAATCTAATGGAATGTTTGTTTCAAGGTAGCTTCTGCTTCTATTTCTGTTTCAGGAAGGCCAATTACTCTTACGTTCTTTCTCTTGAAATAATCGCTCATTTCTGAAAGGTTTTGTTCTGTCTTTTTAAGCTTCTTTTCTGTGCTTTTAACCATTTGGGTTAATTCTATATTTTGGTCTTCAAATTCTGAGATTCTTTCTTCTGCTTGGCTAATTCTGCTTTCCATGCTTATCAGATTGTTATTTATTTCATTCACCATATTCTTTACTACTGTTGTCTCAGTTATCAACTCCTTTCTAGTTTCTTCTTGTCTCGCCTCAATTCTTTTTAATCTCTCCATTAATGTCTTGATATCTAGGTTTGTAGTTTGAGGCCAGTCATTCTGGGGGCTCTTCATTTTTTTTGCATTCTAAAGTCAGTTTTCAGTGTCTGCCCTCCCAGGGGTCTCGGAGAGACCCATATTCTTCTTTTGGTTTTTCTTCCTTTGTGTAGATTTTTTCTCTCTCCCCCTTTCCCTCCCCTTCTTTAATTCTGTTTTCAGGGAAGGTGGGGTTGCTTTGGCTTTGCTTGTGCAATCTCCTGCTCTTCCTTATGAGTGTCCTCTGAGTTTTTTCACTTTTCAGGCTGGAGTGTTGGCTGGGGGCTGTACTTTTTGCAGTTTTGAGGTTTAATTGAGGAGGAAGCTGTGATTCAGAATTTATCTGCTGATTCCAGTATCCACCAACA